AGCTTCTTAAATGTGTAGATTAATCTTTTTCAACCATTACTTCTTCAAGTATTTTTTCTGCTCCTTTCTCTCACTTCTCATCCTGGTACTCCCACTATGTGTATGTTGGTGTGCCTAATGATGTCCCATATGTATTTTTCTTTTTTTTTGAGGATCTGTTCATTTTTCTTCACTCTTTTTTTAATCTCTGTTCTTTGAATTGCATAATCTCTATCCACTTATCTTCAAGTTTGCTGATTCTTTTTTCTGCAAGTTCAAATCTACTCTTGAGAATTCCTAGTAAACTTTTCATTTCAGTTATTGTATTTTTCAATTTCAGAATTTTCATTTGGCTCTTTTTTTAAAAAATAATTTCTCTTTATTGATATTCCTTATTTGATGAGACACTGTCATACTTTCTTTTAATTCTTTTTAGTATGGTTTCCTTTAGTTCTTTGAAAATACTTATAATAACTGTTTTGAAATCTTGGTTTGTTAAGTCTGATATCTGTGCCCTTTCAGAGACAATTTCTGTTGTATGCTTCTTTTTTTCCCCTGCTTATGGGTCGTACTTTTTCTGTTTCTTTGTATGTCTCATAATTTTTTGTTGAGAACTGGACTTTTTAAGTAATATATTGTAGCAACTGTGGATACTGATTTTCCCGCCCCCTTCTCCAAGGTTTGTTTGTTGTTGTTTTCTTGTTTATTCATTTAGTGACTCGGATGGAATATTTTAGTGACGTATTTTTCCCCATCAACGTGAAGCCTCTGATATGACTGCTAAGAGGATGCAGCTCTGGATATATGCAGGTAACTCTGGGATGGCAGTAGTTTTAGCAGGACTCTCTCAGACTGTCTCTTTCCGAGTCCTCTGTTAAACTGGCTGTCTCTGCTGGTATCATACCCGACTTTTAGGCTCCACTAATTGTCAGCTTATTGCTCTATTGTCAACAATGCCCTAGGACATAAATTGCTCTAGGGTCCGATTCAATTAAACTTGGGTCCCTTTGTGAAGGTAGTTTTTAAAGCCATTCTTTGAGGTTTGTTCTGACCCCAGGAGGGCTCTTCTAAGATTTCTTTTTCCCTGGTTCTCTCTGGTAAACTAGCTGGCCTACAGCTTGTTGTTTTTAATTGCTTACCACCAGAATCTCCATTGTTTTCAGAGCACTCTTAAGTTTGAATGTCCCCATGCTCTGTTCCAAATAAAGTCAGTGATTTTTTTTTTTGTGGGTTTGTGGCTTGTGGGATCTTAGTTCCCGGAGCAGGGATCGAACCTGTGCCCCCTGCAGTGGAAGCATGGAGCCCTAACCACTGGACTGCCAAGGAATTCCCTAAAGTCAGTGGTTTAGGGAAGAGCTTCAGAGCTCTTAGTTTTTATGGATTGACTGGGCATAATCTCTGAGTCTCTGTTGAGGAGCTGAGGGCAAGGACAGTGGCTCATATCTCTCAGAATGACATCCGGCTTTGAGAGCAGGGTTCTGGGCACTGGTGGTAGCCTCTGATCCTGTTGATGGACATTTAGGTTGCCAGTAAGCCTCTCACAACACAGAACCCCTGCCCCATGAGCATGTAAGCTGGGACAAGGGTGATCAGTATTCTCAGACTGCCATGCCTGAAATGAAGCCTCTGCCCTGTTGGTGAGGGCTGGGTGAAGGAAGGGAGCCCCAATCTTTTGGCTACACTCACCAGGAATTTAGCCTCTACAACTTGGAGCAGAGAAAGGAGGCATTGGTGAGATGCCGGCAGCCTGCTCCTCTCAGTGAGATACCATATCTCTTGACTGGGAGCTGAGGGGAAAAGGAACCCCATTTTCTTGGCCACACTCATCTGGATCAGAGCTTCAGTCATTGCTCTGAGATGGAGAGAGAGGAGGGAGGGAGCAGGTTGTAGCTTAAGTGCCACAGACTCTCACTGTTCTCGCTGAGATTTAGTAGATTTTCTTGAATAAGTTTCTTCATTTGCTGTATGCCCTTAGGAAAATTTCCAGAGACTTTTACAATTGATTTGTAAAATAATCTTTACCAGTTACGGTAGGACAGTGGGTCAACAGAGCGCCTCATGCTACCATTCCAGAAGTGGAAGCTGGGCATAGGGATTTGAGACAAACTCACTCTAGCTCTCAGCAGTTCAAGAGACATTAGAATTACATTTTAGATCCCTTCTGGGGTTATTAGACTTAAGCATGATACGCAGGTGCTAGCCTGATTAAATCATCTCCCTGTTACTGAAAGCTTCATGATAACCTCCAATCTCTGAGACACTCGGTGGTGGGTTGAAAACACCAGCCCAGCTATGGTTCTGCTGATCCTTTGGAATTGCTCTGAGGCTGAAGCAAAGGATTCATTCAGATTTGACGCCTTCATTGAGAGTACTAGGGAGAACAGATAAGAAAATGGGCACACAAATCTGAAAGAGGCCTCACTCTGTGACCATCTTTCCTCAGGGGTTCCTGTCCTGAACAGACTCTACCTCCATGCTCACAATGTAATAGGCACCCAGATTCCTGTCTTTCTCCAAATCTGGTCTCAAGAGGCAGGCATTCCCTCTCCTACCTCTTAGGACCTGTCTTCCAAGCTTCCTTTCTACTGCAGATGGGAGTGTTTACCCCATCGAGGTAGCGTTATTCCTCCCTCCCACAACTACAGCTCAAACTACCTCAAAATCAGTCAGCCCTGTTTCCTATGCCATTACCACCATAGCCAGAAACCAGACCCATCACTCGAGGACTTCAAGTGCTTGCAGCCAAGATCCCCTGTCCTACGACCATTCTCAGACAATGTGCTAGCACCGGCCAGGCACAGTGAGAGTGCCAGCCTCCCCCGCCCTAGCCCAAGTGAGTGTGCCGCTGCTCAAACCCACCAGTCCTGGCGTCCAAAGCACACCCACCCCTTAGGAACTGGTCCCAACGTCCTCTGGGGTTCCACAGTGCCCTGGCCCACACAGCATCCTCCAGGGACCACCCCACTGGTCCCAATAACTTGTTCCTATGGAGAATTTAACCTCAGGAAGTTTTTACTAGTCGGGCTTCAGTTAAAAGCGATAGAAACAACCCGAACTAGCTTAAGCTTCGGAAGGATCTCGGAGCGGCTTCGGGAGCAACGAGGCGCGGGCCTTGGGCATGGGACCGGGGTGCGGAGACGGCAGGCTCTGAGGTCCTGCCTCCGCTTCTCTCTGGGTTTGCCTCTTCCCTCTGCCTTCCATCACCCTTGCCTGGAGGCTGTCAAACCAGTTGTTCAGGAGATATACCCTCATCATCCCCTTCCAGAGAGGAAATCCACCCGCTCTGGGCACTTTCTGCCCTCTGCCCTCCCCGTGGTCTGGCTTCTGTTTTTCCATCAGGCACTGTCTGCCCAGCCGCATGGCTCTAGCTCTGGCCAAGGGGTCTTTAGGGTAAAAGCCATCCTCTCCTCCCATCTCCTCCTGCCTCACTCTGTGACCTTCTTTCCTCAGGATCATCTGTAGCCTCTGGCCTCCTCAGGAAGAGGACTGAGGCAGGAACGCCTCAAAGTCCTTCTCAACCCTGGCCGCATGTGACAGTCACCTAGAGAAATTTACAAAACGCCAACTGCTCAGGCTCTAAACCAGATCAATTAGTTGACCCTTGAACGACGTGGGGGTCAATCCTCACCTAACGTAGAGTTGGCCTTGCATAAACGCGGTTCCTCCTTATCTGCAGATTCAACCAACCAGGGACCATGTAGCATTTACTATTGAAAAATATGCACGTATGAATGAACCCACGTTGCGCAGTTAAAACCCGCGTTGTTCTAGGGTCAACTTGTAATTTGAATCGCTAGGCACAAGTCCCCCACATTGATATGCACCCCCCCACCGCCAGGTGATTCCAATGTACAGCCAGGGTTGCAACCACCGCTATAGAGACCGCAAGATACCCCAGGTGAAGATAAAGAGCGTTTACTTGAAGAGGTCCTGAGATACACCCTCCGACCCCTAACACAGACATAAGGTCTTGCTGCCATTGTTTGGATCCTCATATTCCAAAAGCAACAGCCCAAAGAATCCCTCAGCTTCCAGGAAATCCTCAAAATCTGTCCCTGCAAAGCACTGTCACTTTACCTTACTTTGAAGCCAGTTGCTAAGGCCCCACCTGGGGCAAATATCCAGTAGGAGTTGCTGGTTTTCAAGGTGCTCAGGAGAGGTGCTGACTCCTTCTGACCACTGGGATTGGAAGGCAAGTGGGCTACAAAAGGAGGTTTCCCTGGAAAGGGGGAGAGGTCCTTCTGGTTGGAGAATCTGCATTTTTGTCTCTCCTTGCAGGTCACTGTGGTCATAAGAGACCCTCTCCCCTCCATCACAGACCTTCCCAGTGCAAACACTGGGAAGTCCGGTGCAGAAGGAAGAAGGTCGTTAGAAGTGGGTCGTGTGGCCAGATAAGCCTAGAGTCGACCCTGGGGCCTCAGTAGCCCTCTAATAAGCTTGGGGTCTGTTTCCCCTGAGAAGGGGTGAAAATGTGGATGGTTCAGTAACACTAACACTGATTCAAGCAACACTTATTGCTTGGCTACTTGACCAAAGTCTCGCGGCTGATTTACAGTGCACCTGTTTCGCTTCAGGTGGAGTGTAAGGGCATAGAAAACCTTGCTGGAGGGCAGTTTGGAAACGTATATCAACAGCTAAAAAATGTTCATTCTCTTTCACTTAGTAATTCTACTCCCAGGAATCCATCCCAAGAAAACAACCAGAAGTGAGCCATTTAGTTTTCCGCAGCACATGTGAAATTGACAGCGCACCCATCACGATGTCGGGCTCTGGTTGCGTCATAATACACGTTTAGTACGTGGACTGACAATGGAAGCTGGCTCATAATTCAGCGATGAAAGAAAAGAGGCACAAAAACGTATACAATATGCATACGCATAGAGTAATAGACCGTGATTTCTGTGGGTGGTGGGATTGATTTTTAATATCTTCATTGTCCTTTCTGTTTGGTACAATCAGCACTTAACCAATTTTATAATCATAAACAAGAGGTACGCGTCTTTCAGTGTGCGGTGTGTGCGATGTCGGGTCTCCAGGACGACTGGGCCGCGGGGGTGGGGTGGCAAGCTGGGCGGCGCCGGGGCCGAGGAGGCGAGCGGGACCGACACCGCGACCCTCGCCCGAAAGCGCCCGCCCGATCCCCGGAGCGCGAGCTGGAACCTCGGCGGGCGGGCGGCACCCCGCAGGCGGCGGCGCCTCTCAGGGGTCGTCCCCATGCAGCTGGCGGAGAAGGTGTCAGCCAGGTGCGGCGACTCGGCGGCCCGGCGGCCCAGGTGGGCCTGGGAGCGGGTGTGCGGGCGTCGGGGCGCGGGAAACCGCTCGGGCCTCCCGGAGCGGCCGGGCGTGGAGCGGCGGGGGTCGGCCGGATCACGCTCGCCTCCTGAGCGGTGCCCGGGGCCTTCGACGACGGTCGCGTCCCCATTGCCCTGCCGCGCAGCGCGCCCTGGCCCGGCCTCCAGAAAGGCCTTCGTGCACGTGGGGGCCTGGCCCGCGCGGGCCCCGCAGGCCGCCGCTGCCCGGCTCACTCCCGCCTTCCTCCCCGCGCCTGCTCTAGCTCCGTGAGTCTCGCCGAGGTGTGGGACCAGAGGGCGATCGGGAGCTACCACGAGCTGTTCGCGGCCTCGTTGGGCAACCTGGAATGGTTGCGGTTCTGTCTAAATCGGCACCGGGGGAAAATCCCGGCCGATGACAAGGTAAGGCCTCGGAGCTCAGGGGCGGGGACCGAAGTCGTCTCCACCCCACAGAGAGCTCCGTACGTAGTAGTTACCTGGCGAAGAGTGACAGTGGAGCATCCGGAGATGTCCTTTTCTGGGTAGATGGTCCTAATTCACCTTCCGACCGTCTGGAAGGCCATCTTGGGGGAGCGAGGAAGGGTGAGCGATATGGGAGTGGGAAAGGGGTACGTGCGATTCCCCGGGGGCACAGAGAAGAGGGGGAGGGTAACCCCAAGAAATTGCTCTCTAGGTTAGGTTGTGGGCCCTGGGTGCCAGTCCTGCTCAGCCTCTTCCCGCCTCCTCTGGCCCCCACAGGGTTTCACTGCCATCCACTTTGCAGCCCAGAGCGGCAAGCTTGCATGCCTGCGGGTCTTGGTAGAGGAGTACAAGTTTCCCGCGGACCTGCCCACCAACAATGGCCAGACACCTCTACACCTTGTCATCCGCAGTGACAACAAGACCACGGCCCTGCCCTGCATTCACTATCTGATTAAGCAAGGGGCGGCCCTCAACACGTGAGTCCAGCCTATGAGGGGAGAGTGGCTTGGAGCCTGGGCAGATAAGAACCCCACTTCCAGGCAGGCAGATCCAAGCAGGACAGGCAGAGGGGCTGTGGGGTGACAAGGATTGATTCCCACATGAACAGTCAGAGAGCCCACATGGTGTCATGGTTAAGAGATTTTGGGAGAGGACAGACCTAGTTCGTGTCCCAGCTTTGCTACCTGCTACCAGACAGAAAAACCTCAGGCAAGTCACTCAACCCTAAGCCTCAGTGCTCTGGTTCCCAAACCTGTCTGGACACTGGAATCACCTGGGGACCTTCAAAAATACCAATGCCTGTGTTCCAATCCAAAGGCTGTCATTTAATTGGTCTGAGGTGTGGCCTGGACTCTGGAAGGCTCAAAAGATCCCCAGCTATTTCCCATTTGCAGCAGTTTGGGAACTACTTGCCTCAGTGTCTTCAACTGAAATTTGGGGGGGATGACAGTGCCTATCACGTGAGACTATTGTGATAATTGAGAAAATGCATGGAAAGTGCATGGATGGCATATAGGAGACTGCATTCATTCAAAATACTTATTCAGCATGTAATGTGCTAAGCGCTGGGCCAGAGCTGAGGAATACAATGGTGAACATACAGCAATGGTCCCTGCCCTCGTAAAGCTGATATACTAGCGCAGGAGCAGACAGCCAATTAACAAACTAATGAATGAACAAAATGACAGAGTGTGGTAAGTGGTTATGAAGGGTATAAACAGGGTGGTGGGGTGGTGAGTAAAGAGGGCAGGGAGAAGATCTATCTGGGAAGAGCAGTTACCTCTAAGGAGAGAATGGAGAGGTGAGCCAGCCTAGCAAAGCCAAGGAAAAGTGTTCCAGGCAGAGGTGTAAAGGCCATGCTGGGAGAGAGTGGGGCAAGGTCAGAGGGCAAAGTTGGGGAGGAAGCAGGGCCCCGGCCATGCAGGCCTTGTGGGCCATGGCTAGGTGTGGGGAAGGGGCAGGAGGGCTGAGTGGTTTAAGAGGAGATGAGGTTAGTGGTCTCTGAGCTCCAGCCAACCAGCTCTCCTTCTAGCATTTCCTCACGGTCACACACCCCATAATCAGACTTTTGCTGTTCATTTAGTACAAACCCTCCTTCTACAGTTGAAGAAACTGAGGTACAGAGAGGAGAAGGGACATGCCAGGGTCACCCAGTGGACTGGTGGCAGAGCAGGCCTGGAAGCTGGTTGGCTCACCTATCTGACAGGCAGATGCCCTTGGTCCTTCCTTTCTGCCCTCCTCCCACCCCCACCCCGGCGGGGCCCTCCACAGTCAGACATGCAACGGCTCCACACCCCTGCACCTGGCAGCCCGCGAGGGCCTGCTGAGCTGTGTGAAGGTCCTGGTGCAGAAAGGTGCCAATGTTCATGCCCAAGATGCCATGGGCTGCAAGCCCATCGACTACTGCAAAATATGGAACCACCGCATCTGTGCCCGGTGAGGCTGTGAGAACCAGCCCTGCCTGTCACCCTTCCCCAGGGCCCTCACCCAGAGCTGAGCATGTAAGAGGAGGGTCTGGGGATGAGCCTGCAGAGGGCGCCTCTCCCCAAGATGCTATTCCCAGGGCTGTCCACAGGGCCTCACCCCTGGGGTTTAGCACTGCCGTGAGGCCCCAGCTCCTCGGCAGGGGGGTGGTGATCCATCAGACGCTTTAGCCAGAGGGGCCTCGGGCAGTGGGGATGGGTCATGTTGCTCATCTCACCTCTGGCAGCTCTGCCCACTCCCACCCAGGCCCTCGGCAGCAGCCAGTCTTCCCTGCCCAGGGCGAAGCTCAGTCACTGGGGAATGACACGCCCCCGCCTCGACACCAGGTTCTTGAAGGATGCCATGTGGAAACAGGACAAGAAGGACTTTGCCCATGAGATGGGGAAACTGAAGAGGCTCAAGAACCAGCTGGCCCTCATGGAGGAGGACTACCTGACTGAGTATCAAGTAAGGGGTAGGGCCAGTAGGACGGGCAGCGGCACCGGCCATCCAGGCATGTGAGCAGGGGAGGCAGGGACCCACATGCACAGTTGGTTAGAAGAGTGGCTAGAAGTGGTCCCACCCAGAAGGAGCCTCCCTCACCCCCTCCTCTGAGGAGGAGGGCTCCAGGAGGGTGCCGAAGGGATGATGCTCAAGAGGACGCTTTAAAGGTGGGCAGCAGTTGGCCACATGAAGAATCGGGAAAGGACTAACCTGGTAGAAGGAACAGAGAGCCCTGCATAGGGGCATAGGGGCACATGAGAGCGTGGAGTTTGTCAAGAAGTGCAAATTCAGTACAGCCAGGGGATCAGATGTGAGCTGGAGACTGACAAGCGAGAGACCCGGCAGGGGCCCAGATCAATGTCAGACCTCAGCTGGGACAGACAAGGAGAATAAAGGATTTTAAGCAGGTATAACGACACAGGATGTAAGAACCAGAAAACCTCAAAAGAAGATGCTGGGACTCCTAAGCGGATCCGGGAGTTGGGAGGGCTTCGGTGCTGGCAAAATCCGGTACTCCAGCTCTGTTCCAGCTGCATTCCTCGCCAAGCTGCCCTGTCCTACCCTCCGTTGTCAGTGTCACCCAGCCTTCACAGTCATGTATGTATCCAGAGGAGGCAAAGCCCATCTGTTCCCGTGGCTCTAAGATTTCCCAGAAGCCCCTTGAAGATCTCCCCTTATCTCTTATTGGCCTCAACTGGACCACGTGTCCATTCTTTTTCCAATCCCTAGAGCTAAAAGAAAGCCATGTGTTGACTGACTTAGGTCTGGGGCGAGGCTGATGGAATTACTATGATTGGCTTGGCCTAATCAGAGCCTACATCTGAAGCTGGGTCAATCTCCAAACCACCTGGCTGCTTAGCAACAGTCTGGCAAGTGAGACACTGAGATGGGGGGGGGAGGGATCGGTTCTGTGACAAGGAGTTGAAGGTTCAGCTCTAGTGGAGGCAAGGACAGAGAGCATCACCACCCAGCCTGGAGAGACAGCCAAAACTGTCTCTCTCCCTACACTGACCACTCAAGGCCCACCACTTCCAAGAAGCCTGCCCAGATTAGCTCCATCCAGTTCCTAGCCTTCCAAACTTTTCTGCTTTCTCCTTCCAGGGTCAAGGATAACCCTACATCACTCATTTGCCTTTTTCCCCATCAACCCAGAGACTCTCTTAGGGCAGGCATGTCTCCACCACCAGACTGGGAACTCCTTTAGTGGGGGTGGAGGCTGGTCTCCCCCATTAAGACTCAAGTTTTTCCATAGGGCAGGGACTGTGTCTCCGCCCTCAAGTTGGAGACCTCACCTAGGGCAGAGGCTGTGTCTCCATCAGATTGGAGGTCTCTCCTATGGGAAAGGCTCTGTCTGTCCCATGAGCCCAGGGGCCCCCTCCAGGCAGTGGCTGTCTCCCCAACAGAACAAGGGCTCCCACAGGCAGGGGTTTCTCTCATCAGACTCCGGGCTCCCCGGAGGCAGGAAGGTATCTACTCAGTCAGGAACCTGAGGTTTCCAGGGCTGCAGCCACAGGGCCCCCTTCCACAGAAGCACACGGGGGTAGCCCTCCAGAACTATCTTGTGCCTTCTGATGTTGCAGAAAGAGCACCAAATTCTGAGAGAAGCTGCCTTCAAGAAGTGGCTCCATCGCAAGCTGCCGCCCCAAGGCCCATCCCTGAGCCGCGACACTCAGGGAGAGCCCCATCCTCCACCCCAGGCCACCGTGCTCTCCAAGACCCCCAGGCACGGGGCACTGCGGCCTCCCAAGAGTTTCTACCCCTCCCAAGAGGCGCGCCTGCAGCAGGCACTGCAGCCCAGTCAGCCCTCGGTGATGCCTATACCCACCTGCAAGCAGCTCATGGTCAGGCGGCCCAAGGTGTGGAATCTCAGCAACAGCCCTGTCAGGTCCCCCGCCGCCCAGATTGGCTACCCGCAGGGCACCCGCCTGGGCGTGCATCCCGACCCCAGGCCGGAGCACGACTTCCGCTGCTTCCTCGAGGTGAGGTCCGACGGGCACGGCGGTGCGCTCCTGCGCACGGTGGCCGGCAACCAGGTGGCGCCTGTGCCCCGGCTGCCTTTAGAGGTGATAATCCGTGAGCTGTACCCGTCGCTGCAGCCGTGCAGGATGAAGGTACCCCAGGGCTTCTGTTCTGTCACCATAAGAGAGGTGCCCCGGAAGCGGCGCCTGGGCGATGGCACCTTCTGGACCGACACTCTGAGCATGAACCTGCGAGAGACGTTTGACGAAGGCTTCCTGGCAGCCGTGCGAGCCCATCAAGGGCTCCCCACTCTGCCCTCCCCCAAACTACCCCCCACTTAAACTTATTTTGGTAGCCTCCCGACTGGAGGCTGCCCAGTGAAGGCTGAGGTGTGGTGATTCTGTATGGATGGGGAGGAAGGGGAGTGCCCACAGGCTGCCCACCCCCAAGCTCAAGGATCGGAGCCCCCTCCCTGACAAAACCCAGCTCCCAGGTCTCCCTTCTCTCCACAAAGGAATCTCTTGGACCCCCCAGGAGATCCAAGTTAGGGCAGTAGCCCAAGGCTCAGAGTGGGGATCCTCCTCTATCCTGGGCCTTACCATTGTAAAAGTGACACCTTGGTGTCCCCATTTCCCTTCCTCACACCCAACAGCTCACCAGGGACAAGGATTCCAGGATGAGGGACCACTGGGAAATTCTGCCTCTTGTTCATATTAAGTCCTTCCTGCTGCAGGTTCTAAGCCTCACTCTGCACCTCCAGAACAGGGAGGAAGACAGCTAATGTGTCACCCTGCCATTGGCTTCCCTGCCACTATGGGCTGCCATCCTTCATACCCAGCTGCCACTGGGGTTTCTGCAGCACAGGGAGGCACAGGCAGCCTTTCTGGAGAAGGGAGGGAGGACCTATGGCTTCAGTTTGAGACTGAAAGCACTTGTACTTTCTCCAGGAAGCTATCCTGGGTCCCCTGCTATCCCCTGTACACACCACTACAAATCATTCATTAAACAAACATTTATTGAGTACTTTCTATGTGCCAGGTGCCAAGCTAGGCACGGTTGATACAAAAACTGAAGGACGATTCCTGCCCTCGAGGAGCTTACAGTCTAATGGGGAGATAAACCAGTAAGCAGGCAAATAAGCCCAGAGTGATCTGTGTGGTGTGCTGGAGGGAGAGGGGACATTCAAAGTTCCTTGGAGGAAGTGAAATGTAAGTTGAGAACTGACAGAGAAGGTACTCAGGCGAGCAGAAGAAAGGGAATTAAAGGGCATCTCTGGATACAGGAGGCTGAAAATCAGAATGCAAGGTGGCAAGTGACGAGGCCAGAGAGGCGAGCGAGAGCCGGGACACCGCGAGCCTCACGAGCCATGCTCAGGGGTCTGGACTTTATCCTGACGGGGGGAGCCGTGGAAGGTTGTAAGCCAGGGAGTGACTAGAACAACCATGCATTAGAAAGACAACTCTGGCTGTGGGATAGAGAAGCAGAAGGAGGCTGTCACAATAATCCAGGTGAAAGGTGCTGACAGAGGGACTGGCTCAAATCAAGAGATGTTAAGAAGGTAAACTTGACAGTTGTTAGAGATTGGATGTCAGGGCAGAAGGAGAAAGCAGGTTTCTGGTCGGGCTCCTGAGTGATCTTGGGGCCAAGGCAGGTACCCAGAAAAGGCAGGTTGCAAAGGGTGGCACCCAGTGCAGCGGAACTGTGGTTCAGAGGACCGAGAGGGATGCTGGGGCTGGCTGTCGGCTCTCAATTCCTTGAAACCATCAGCACGGATGGGCTCCTCCAGGGAACACACGACCGAACCCTGAGAAACCCCACTGCGCGGGGGGTGAGTGGAGGGGCCTGCACAGGACCCGGAAAGGAGCAGCCAGAGGGAGAACCAGCCACAGAAGTGCTTGGGACGCTGGGGGCGACGAGCCCTGCCCGATGCTGCACAAATCCAGAAAGAGGAGATAGGAAGAGGGTCCGCTGGACTTAGCACAAGGCCACTGGCAGCCCCCAGAACACTGGCAGTGGAGTGAATGGAGGGCAAAGCCCCACCATTGGGGTGAGAAACAAAGACATGGACAGCAACGGAGGGCAAGGCCAGCTGCTGGCCAGCAGTCAGGACACTGGCCTCCAGTGTCCTCCACCTTGTCCTCCCTTGTCTGCATAGGACAAAAGGGCCTGGCAATCTCAGTGCCACTGAGAGAAGGCCCAAATGTACTGCTCCTCCCCAGGAAAGGGGAAGGCTGGTATTTTTAAGAGAACGGGAATGCTAGACCCAAGGAAATGAAGGGCTACGGTGGGACTTGAGGCAGGATGTAGAGGTAAGATTTTCAAGCACAGAGGTCTTCCCTGTGGCTGAAAGGTACCACATGCGTGCAGTCCATCTCTGCACCTGTCTGCTTTGCTGTGAGGTACAGGACATGTCCGGTGATGGCTCTCGTGGGGACCTCATTCGCATAGGTACTGCTGAGTACTTGTAAGGCACTGTAGTTGGAACGCAAGGTCAACAAATGCGGGCCTGTGCCCAGGACCTGGCCTGCCTTTTTAGAAGACTGATCACCTCCCCAGGAGCCAAGAGCACTCAGAAGAGAGGGCCAGCCCTTGTGTGCTCTTAGAGTGACAAACAGCTTCTCTCACCAGCCCTGTTTCTTACAAACAGGCTGTAGCCCGGGCTGCCAAGAAGCCAATTTTTAATGTTTCTCCTCGAGCTTGAGATAGAATTCAGCCAGAAACCACTCTCTTCCCTAGGCGAAGACTTATAAATAGGACACTGTACATGTTCTCCTGAAAGATCTAACCCAGGCCCACACCATCCCCTCTCTGCCCCCAGTCTGACAGTCACGGAGCCCTGAGGAAAGAAGAGATGCAAGGAGAGAGAAGGGCGTTAAGAAAGGCCGCATCCATCCCCACTCCCCCGCCTTCCACTCCAGGCTCGGCTCCTCATCTCTGTCCCCTTCCCACTAAGGGCCACAAGAACAGTCCCTTCGGAAAGGCAAGACCCAAACCCAGAAAAGGAGCCCCTGGCGCAGAAAAGCCAGTCCAGGCGGAAGGTCAGCAGAAGAAAGGAAGATGAACTTTCAGGGTATTAAGGCAAACAGGGCCACCTAGAATCTTTATTCAAACGGGAATCAGCACTTGGACAGAAATCACAGTTCAACAGCAAAACTTTCTCTTGCAAGTGCTAAGCCACGGCCCCTCCCCACGGCCATCTGCCCATAGCAGTTATCACTGTCTGCTCTCCAGCTTCACGGCCCCTGCCCTGCCTGCCCTGGGAGAGCCAGAACTCCGGACCCATCACAGGAAGCGGCGGGAGGGCCACAGGAGCTCAGCTCTGCACACCCAGGTGGGCCACGGCCTCCTGGCTAAGCAGGCACCGCATCCTCCCTGGCGCCCTCTGAGGTCTCAGCCTCCGGCAGCATCACATCTGAGCCAAGCTGAGCCTCCTGAGGACGGTGGGGATAGGGGCTTCCGGGGGAGTCGAGGGAAGGAGGGCCAGCGCTGGGGGAAGGTGCCTTCCAGCTCCCGGCACCCACCTACTGCAGAGGCCCAGGGGCCTGACTCTCCTGATCTTGCCCCAGCATCCCCTCCGCAGAAGTTCAGTACATCTTCTGCCGACTGGGTAGAATGGCCTCTTTGATGAAGGAGAAGACAACCAGGATCCCTAAGCGTTTGCCCCGCTTGCCTTTGGTGAAGTAATTGGAGACCACGTCATCTGTGGAGACACAGGCAGGGAGATGAGAGTGTGTGTGTGTGTGCAGGGAGATGAGAGTGTGTGTGTGTGTGTGTGTGTGTGTGTGTGTGTGCAGGGAGAGAGTGTGTGTGTGTGTGTGTGTGTGTGCGCGCGTGTGTGTGAACACAGCTCTGCCCACCCAGAGTCCAAGTGTCTCCATCACAGGGCGGGCTCCAGCTCCCCCAGCAACTCAGGCCTTGCTGGCGTCCTCCCACCATGCCTCCCACCTTACAAACCCCTTCTCACCTCCAGGCTGCATGGTGGAGGGCAGGACGTTCTCCCCAGCCGACAGTGACACAAAGAACGCAAACGGGATTATCCACAGACAGAAAGTGAAATAGGCCAGGACCTGGCAACAGAGACACTGAGATGAGGGTACCCCTGGAGATGCCAAGGCTGGGCCAGGTGTGCTCACCATGTATCTTAGAGAGGCGGTCAAGCGTACCCCACACTTGATCTCTGAAGGGGACCAGGGCCCGGGAAGCAGAGACAGGACACCCCCAGACATGGAGAAAATTCAGTGGGGAAAGGTGGAGACCAAAGATGACTGTGTGGCCACCATCCCCAAATCGTGGTCACTAGGACAAGCAACTCCTCTGAACCAAAGGAGGCAAATGGAGGGCAAAACCATGAATGACCCATGTTCCCTAGAGAAGCGACCTTGTTCTTCCCCAGGGGTTCAAACTGGAGTAGCAGGGTTCAGGGTTGTGGCCCACCCCTGCCCTGTGAGGTCTGCGTCAGACCAGGCCACCCCACCGCCCCTTCATGACCTTAGGATGCTAGGCTGGGATGCTGGCATCCCCAAAGGACTCACTGGGAGACAGCAGTGTCCTCCCCACCGCAGCCAAAGGGGTCCCTGCTTCTCATCCTCACTGCTTTCTAAAATCACCTATACCATTTTTTTAAAAAATGTGTCATCCCTGAATAAACTCAGTTTCAAATCATAGTCAAGTTCACAAAGGAATCACGCAAGTCCCTTTTACTCGCTCTGTCCCGGTTAGTAGTTTGATGACGTACTGAATACTTCTTACCTCTGAGAAGGGATAATATTCCTCTGCAAAAAACTGAAACGCTAGGTAATGATTCACCACCACTAGCCCTGTTGAGGGAATGAAGAGTCATTTATTCTGGGGTGGATAACATAAAGCAGACTTTCAAGCTTCACAAGGCCCCGGAGGTTGGAAGCCGACGCTTAGTCCTGACCTCACACCCAGCTCAGAGGACGGCTCCGTGCCAAGCGCACTACTCTCCAGAACCCAGTTTCCCGTCTGTCAGAACGGAAGAACCAGCCCCCACCCCACCTGCCCGCTGCAGAGGGCACTCATGAATCCAATTAGAAGTAGGTAAAACACTCTTTGAATATTATAAAAATGAGACTCCAGCGCTACACACTCCAAAGCATGGTGCCAGTTGACCTGGCCTTTAGCAGCCATGAGTCCTGAAGAGAGCTCCGCAGGGCTGTGTGGAAGGGTGTCACGGGCGTGCAGAGCACACGCTCCCAAGGAGTCCACTCCACTCAGGGCAGCAGGGAGGAGGCTCTCACTCCTCAGGAATGAAAGGGCACAGTTTGCTAGACGGTTTGCAGTGCAATCTTAGGGTTCCTCAAAATTCTGGGGGAGGGGTCCGTCCTCAGAATAAGGTTCACTGGTGTGAACTGGTATGTTCTGGATCCCACCACCTCCTTAGCATGAGCCAAATTCAGAGAGAGATCCCGGGGACTCGCTGCTCCGAGACAGGCATTCCTGCCGGTTCCCACGGTGAGGTGAAGGGCAGGCACCAGAACAAGGCATTCCCTCACACCCAACACCCCTCACATACACCTCACAGCCAACTGCCACGAATCTTTCCTCTTTTCTCCTCTCTTGCCTCTCCCCTTCTAAGGCAGACAACCACAGCTCTGCCGCTCCTAGCCGCGCTCTAGGGCGAGGGCATACTGGAAGATAGGATGGTACCTGACACCCACAGATCTTCAGAAAAACTCTCCCAGGCATCTTGAGGGCAAGTCAGGGGAGTGACAAAGGGAAGCCAAGGGAGCTCCCCAAGGGGTGGGGGGATTGGGGAGCACCCTCCCCCCTGGGAAGACGCAAGAGGAGCCTGGTCTCCAGGGAAGGACTCCTCACACCAATCCCCGCAGAACAAATCCTTTGGTGGAATCACACCAAGGCACTCAGTCCTGGCTTTAACACTGTGCCCTCCTTGTGAGTAACAGTCCCTTTCCAGATTCTCTCACAGAAACAGAAAAGCAGCTCTAAGAAACCCCAATCAATCTGATAT